ATGACACATAGCTTAAGTTTTCAAACAATTTTGACATGAAGATGAGTCCACAATATATCTAATATACATAATAAATGAGTTATTAACACCCAGAAATGCCCAAAATACATTAATGATCATGGAAATAAATATCAGTTGTTTATTCTAATAAAACAGAAACTGCTTTACAGATGCTCAGTCAGACTGTACATAGAACACCCATGATGGTCACATGGAAATCCAAAGTTAGAGGATCCATAATCAGTACAAGCTAACAGTGTAATGACATGTCCCTTTGGCACCCAAAATAAAGATGTCAAAGTGCAGAGGAGATAGCTGGATGCTGCAAATGTGTATTTAGGTAGTCAACTTCACTCTTAAATTACTGACATACCCAAGGTTTATAGCAGTCACAGACAAACAAGGGGAAGTAGTCTTTACGCCATGTTCCAACAGAGCCCAGTGCTTCTGTGCTATCCAAAAATCTGCTCTGTTATAGGAACCTGTGGTAAACATGAAGAGAAGGGTTGGGGTGTGCATGATGCATTGTTGGAAGTAAGAAGGGAGGACACAATAACAGTCACAGTCACAGGTTCCAAAACTATGTTTCTGTTATTTAATGTGACTCTATACTCAGGAGTGAAATCTTAAAAATGCATTCAAGTGCCTTAACTATTAACAAAAATGTATCTTATGTATGTATCACTCAGCTGTAGATCCTCAAATCATCTCTGAATTGGTGCTGACACTGTCCTTTCTTCTGGAGGGTGGCCGGAGGCTGCCCCTTCGGGGGGGGGCTCTGTAATGGATCCCCGCCATCTGCGCACGCGCAACCTGCGCGTTCCCGCACTACTCGGGAACGCGCCACTCCGTGCATGAGCAGAAGCGGTAGATTACCAACACGGAAACGTGCCATAGCGGCGCATAGGAAGTGGCATCACTGGCCCTATATAAACTCAGCGACAGTACCAACATGTTGCTGGTGTATCATGAGCTAATCCTTGTTCCTGTGTTTCATGATAACTTGCTTGATTCTTGCGACCCGGACTTCCTCGACTAACCTTGATTTCTGCCTGCCTTGACCTCGGAACTGTTATTTGACCATTCTTCTGCCTAACCCTTTCGTACTTGGATTGCCCGCTCGGATTTTGACCTCGGCTCGTCTCATCGGATTACGGCTTGCACGGTGCTCAACACCACTTGCACTCCTGCCACTTGTTGTCCCTCTAGGCTCTGTTCCTATCATCAGAGTCTCCCAGGACACGAGGTGCAAGGGAAGCCTCCTCTCACATCCGGTCTCCCAGAAGGTACGTAACACTGTCCCTGGTCCCGCAGAATGTGCTGCACTTTGTGAGCCATGTAGACCTGTATCCCTAATAGTGGTCGCACTCAATGCAGACTTTGTATGGGCTTATTGAGGATATCACCAGGGAAGTATAACAAATTTAGAGTCAGTTTTATGAATGTGTCAAGGACATTAGTCAAGAGAGTTAAAAAAAACTTTATTGTATTGTAACTTTATTGTATTTTAAACACCATATAACATTTTTGTAGGGGGGGGGGGCTAAACTTCCCATTCTTTGTGCATCACAACACTCTGGTTAAATCACAATGACTTAATAATTTGATGAAATAAACTAATTCTGCATTTTGTTTAGTACTTGAAAGATAATGAATAATGATACAGGCCCTCTACAGATAGTATTTCTTGACCTCCATTTGTACATATAAGAAGACCAAATAATCCAGTCTAAAACCCATGACGATAGTGAGGACTGACGAACCACAACTATGTGAAGAGAAGTGGTACTAAACCCAATGCCGCCCTCACTTATCTCAAACTTGGTAACAAAATGGTCAGATTAAAATCTCATGCATGTGCTAAGCAGTCAGTGGAGACAACACATTTGACAAAAAACAGTCCATCTTAAGCCACATTTGACAAAAGCTAGACCACCTGGAAGGCTTGAAGATATATCATAAACAACAGCTAACCAGGGTCTTCAAAAAGTATCTTCAAAATACTTTTTTATAAATGGTCATAAATAAGCTGTCATGCAGTTTAGGAACACACATCTGCAAGACTAGGGCTTTGACCTGCAGCTGAACGTTACAAAGCTAAGTATGATTAATAGTCCTTAACTCCTATGATTATGGAGTTACCTTCTTAAAAAGTGCAGAAGAAGATAACACTTATGCCTATTTTACAAGGTTTAAGGGCTAGTAAGACACATTTGACCACCTAGGAGAAACATGAATCATATATATATATATATATA